ATAAAGTATTTTTACTAGCTTATAATTTAATTTTTACAATTTATAATTTATTAGATTCTTCTTATATAGGTCAAATACAAAAGAATTGTTATACTGAAAAAGAATTTGAATTTTAGTTAATTATAATATAAGATGTAATAGGACAGTTGATTTTTATTAATTTTTAGCTGATTTTAATATAAAAATTATCATTTAGTATAGTAATTCTTTTTTATTTAACTAGTGTTAATAAGAAGAACATTTTAATAATTTAATTTTTAAGTTATATAGAAAATTTTCAATAACTTGTAATTGAATTTTTATATTTTATAGCTTATTAAATTTTCTTATTAAAACAAATATTTTAATAATTGTTTTATCAAATTGAACTTCTTTATATAAACTTAATATTTCATTATTAGATATTTATTAATAGATTATATTTTTTCATGTTATATAGAATATTTTTACTAGCCTGTGATTCAATTTAGTAATCTATAACTTATATTTCTTTATATAAAATTAATGTTTCTTTATTAGATATTTATCAGTAAATAAAATTTTATTATAATTTTTCATATTATATAGAACATTTTTATTAACTTGTGATTTAATTTTAGTGATCTTTAATTTAATAAATTTCTTTATCAAGATGAACATTTTAGTAGTTGTTTCATTAAAATTAAATACTTTATATAAAGTTAATATTTTATCATTAGATATTTATCAAAGAGATTTATTATAATTTTCATGTTATTGTATATGGAGCATTTTTACTACCCAGTAATTCAATTTTAATAATTTATATCTCATTAGATTCCTTTCATCAAAGCAAATATTTTGATAGTTGTTTCATCAAAATTAAACTTCTCTATATAAAGTTAATATTTATTATTAGATATTTATCAATATATGAAACATTTTCACTAGTTTGTAATTTAATTTTAGTAATTTATAACTTATTAGATTTTTCTTTTTGAGGTGAACATTTTAATATTTATTTTGTTAAAATTAAACTTCTTTATAAAAAATTAATATTTCATTATTAAAATTTATCAATAAATAATTTTATTTATAATTTATGTAATAAAGAGTGATTTTATAAAGGTACTAATAATATCAATTGATTACTAGTCAAATATAAAGTATTGCTGTATTGAATGATAACACTGGTCGAAAATTGATAAAACATACACATATCGGGTACCCGATATGTGCATGGTGTGTTCCTAATATCGGGCATATATCGGGTATCCGATAGGTGTAGAAAATATTTTATATATATATCGGGTACCCGATATATACCCGATATTAGGGACACACCATGCACATATCGGGTACCCGATATGTATATGTTTTATCAATTTTCGACCAGTGTAATTTTTATATTATAAATTAGCTAAAAATTAGTAACAATTGACTATCCTATTGCATCCTATATTATAATCAACTAAAATCAGAATTCCTTTTCAGTATAACATATCTTTTATATTTGACCTGTAGATAGAGCTTATTCTGGAAAATATTATTTAGATATTTATCATGATATTTGTATTTAAAGTTAGTATATTAGAATTTATAAATTTTAATATATATTAATAATTTTTATATTAAAATCACATGTTTTATATTAAAACTTACATGTCTTATGATAACTTAATATCCCTTATAAGCAAAAGTATCATTTTTATAAACCAAATAATTATTTTTTTGATACATCATTTTCAACTAATTATTTGAAATTCAAATTTTAAATCCTGTATGGAATTTACAAAATTTATAAAATTTAGAATTCTATATGCAAAAATTTATATGAATTCCTTTTTTTTTGTATAGAGTTTTCAAATTTTGTACTAGCACACATTCTATACATTGAATTTTAAATACTGTGTTCATATGATTTTGTTATTTTATAAATTATCTAACAATGTATATATTAGTTACATTATATTACTCAAAAATAAGTCTATTAAAAAAATAACCATAGATCTATCAAAAACAATGCTTTTGTCTCCCTTTGAATTATCTAATTTCTAGTACACTCCTAACTAATATATAATTATAATTAATGTATTGGCTATAGCTAAATTCTATATAATTTGTTTCTTTTCAGAATGCTCGCAGTATTTGTAATAAGAGTATATTGACCTACCTGCTTCCATTAATCTTTATCATATTTGTGCCATACATATATTTGATAAGAATAATTGCATGTATATTAGTCATGTGAAATGTCAAATGAAAATCAATTTTATAATTAAAAAAAGTTTAAAACTTCGTTCTATAATTAACCATTAAAGTGTACTGGAATCAATAATTTGTTTATTTTTGTTTAATTGAAGTGTGCAATTGATAGCAGGATACGATTGCCTATTGATGAAAAAAAAAATCTGTACTCAATAATGATGCAATTGAATTTCATCAATTGAATATCAGGGACTTTTGAATTTAGATGTCTTGTATAATACAGCTTACAGAGAACACTTGAATCCATATATAAATAAGGCTATAGTTACTAATATTGTAAAGTGTGGATTTAATATGATGAACTTTATAAAAATTATTGTGGATTTGATCTGTACTATAAAATTTAGAATTTATTCAGAGCTGATGATCTATCTTATCAATAATTAATAACGTGACTGCAAAAAATCAATGAGACTGAAAGAATTCTAGAAACCTACCATAATAATTTTAGTAGAATTGCACAGGATGAAATTATTCAACCCCACGCAATTATTCAAAAGAATGGATATGAGAGGATCCAATCAACGAAGCGAAGAATCATCCTTCTCTTCCCATTCATCATCTTCATATATTTGTCCATATTTGAATTCTTCAGGTAAAAATTAGGCGGAATATGCAGAACAAAAGTTTATTGTGGGATTTTGGGAAAAACAAATTTATTAATTAATAATTTCTGATTGTAGGTGAATCTTCAATTCGAAACTCCTCTTCTTCCGAACGAAACCAGTATTCCCATATTACCTCAACCATCTGGATTCACTTTAAAGAAATCTTCGATAGGATTATGGGTGAAAGAAATCTACTTTTGATGAAATGTGTTATAGTGTAGCGATGCGCATCCGCGAACTTAGAATATTAAACAAGCAACAGTAGTTCTACATTTAATGATATGAGTCTTATGTGCAGTATCATGTGATTTTTTGGTAATTAATACTGTCATCAAACATTACGCTCATTTGACGTAAAGATTGTATTATATAAATTATACTACTTTTTCCTAAACTTTTCTCCTAAGATACTTAAACGGGAGACAGAGAGAATTATATAATAGTTTTTTAACTCTAATAAAAAAATAGCGATTTTAGAAGGGCCTTTTGAAGAACGAAAAAAATCAGTATGTTTACTTTGACTTGGAATATTTTTATATGTTGTAAAGATATCAATATTCACTAAAATTCAGTTTTTTCGTCGGATTTTCTTTCTTATGAAACCTTATAGGAAATCGAGACCGAACTAATGGGTGTAGTCTTATACGCACTTATAACTGACTTTATCGTTTAAATATATGCCTTATTTTCAAGGACAAAAAATTCATAACTTATTTTGTTGCATTGAATACCGTTTATTACATAACTAAAATTGTTAGATTGGGGAACGAGCAGGAATAATCTATGATAATAAAGTTCGTGTTTATACAACCATCCCAAATAATCGCGAGGATATCTTTAGCAATATGTTCCCCGCTATAACTATTACACATGTGAATATTGGATTAGAAATAGCCACACTTGTAGTTAAATTCTTTGTTTGAACCTCTAATGTGAATTAGAGACAAAAAAAAAAAAGTAATACTCATACTGTACTGTATTCTTGATGAAATAGGGAAAAATGTAATCGGGGCATAATGATAGCGTTCTTATATTCATATATAGTTTATTTATTTTGGCAATTTTCATTATATATCTTGACAATGAGATGCTTTATATATTTTCCCGGCTACGATACAAAAACTTAAGAAATTTTGGTGTAACAAAACGAAATTACAAAAATGCGCACGCTCACAATATTTGATTGTTTTATATTTATTCTAGACTACTGCATTCCATAATTAGGGCAAGCACCTATACAAACATATCGATCTGAATACTCCGTTGAAACTGAAACCATCTGGGTTGAATTCACTGCAATATTTAACGAAAGAAGAAAAAAAGAAAAACGATAATAGTAATAACAATAACAATAATGAAAACGATACTCTTTGTCCCTACCCTATACTTCTATCTTGTTATTTTGGTCGGTCAAATAATTTTTACATGTAATAGTGCAAAAAAAAAATTGTCAGAATACATGGTGGCGTAATAAAATACATCTACGAAATAGAATTGTTATTTGTTTTTTTTTTCTTGCACAAACGTTTTTTTTTAGTTTCGGGTTAACTGTTTCTAGCGGATTAATGGTTAACAGTTTTATTAGAACCATTTCTGAGGATTAATGATATTTTTTTATTTCTAATTTTTATAGAAATGAAATTTTCTTATAAATTAGGTTATAGACATCATTTATTAATTAATTATTTAATTATTATTAAGAAAAAAACTACACTTAACCGGAGGGAAAATTAACCAGTGGGCAGAATTAAGTTAATGTTGGTAGGGTTAGGGTTAGGGGATTGACCAGGAATTATGTAATTCTGCCTACGGTGAAATTTCCCCCTGGTGAAAATTAGCATCATTCTATTATTAATAGATTATCATTTTCCTATTCGTAAAATATTTCACGTATGACGTGATTATGAAACTTAAGACGCGGAGAATACGTGAAGAATACAAAACCCAAGCCGCTCGAGTGACGTGTAGATTGCAAAACTCGGGTAATTGTGTGGAATGTATTGTCAATGATAAACTTAACTGCAGTGCAATATTATAATTTCCTTTTTCGTAAATCTGTTTTCCAAATAATAATGAAATAAAATTTATGAATAAAGAGGAGGCCCCGTTAGTCACCAAAAAAAAAAAGTCTGTTTTACAAAAAATTATATAACTGAATTTACAACCATGAGACAAACTCTTAAATTGTTTTTAATCGGTTTATTTTCCTATCTGTTTGTATCGCCTATTACTGTTGATTCCAGTGAATTAACAACAACTGCCACTACATCCTACGCTGAAGTTACTCCTGAAGAAAGGTATCGCAATCACGATAGGAGGCAAATAGGAAGGGGAAGGGGAAGGGGAAGGGGAAGGGGAAGGGGGGGAAGGGGAGGAACGGCAAGGAACGTCTCCTGATGGTTTTCTAATAAACGAAACGAGCACCATTATAAACGTACTAAAAACTAATACTTGTACCATTACGGAAACAAAATGCGTTTCATGATTACAGCAATTACATTCCTAGTCAGTTAGTTAACCAAATGAATTTTATAATAATAAAAATTGCCCTATGCAATTAATATTTTATAGGCGAGTTCTTGTTCTGTAAAACAATTTTTATTTTTTCATTCTATTTTTTTATGATTCCTGATATATTAAAAAATTTGTGTTAATTTTTTCTTGTGTATTGTCAAGATATATTTACTTACCTTGTTTAATCAAAGTGTGATTGGGTCTCTGAATAAATTATAATTTTAAATGCTCCATAATAGTTGATATGTATAGTATTTTTTCGTACTGGAATCAATAACATGTTGTATTTGTTTATTTTGTTTAATCAAGCAATTTATAATAAGGTATAATTACCTACTGATGAAAAAAACTTATGCCTTTAAGCAATGATGTAATTAAATTTCGTCAATTGAATATCAAGGACTTTTGAATTTAGATGACTTGTATAATACAATTGAATCCATATATAAATAAGGCTATAGTTACTAATAAAGGTGATATATGGTAAAGTTATCATATATCAGATACTTGATAGTTGTATTAATTATGTACATATCGATATCAGATATAATAATACTTAGTAATTTAAAAAATATATCTATATAAAAGGTTTCAAAAGGGTCAAAATTATTTCTGGTTTTGAACCTTTAAATATATAAATTCTGAAAATGATTCTTGAAATATTTCAAATCAATTTTTTACATGAAGTGGTGATTTTCTATTATAATGTTTCTATTACCATTTGAAAGCTCTTATTTAGTACTTATCAAAGATGTTAAATTATTATTTTTTTAACAATGATATTTATCAAGTTATTATTAATTTTGTATATAAAATTACATTTTTTTGACTTCACTCATGATTTATGAAACATGGAGTGATTTTTCTACTAAGTTGTTTCTATGGTAGATAGAAAGGTCTTATTCTTTGCTACAAGAGGTATATTTTCATATAGAATTGTTAATGAGCTGGTTTGGATTCACAAAGCAAGGATCAACCTAATTCAAGTTAAATGTTTCTTAGATAGGACTCTGAACAAGTGTTTTTATTATCATTATGCAAAAAATATATAAATATTTATAATAAATATTCAAAAATATTGAAAATTCTAAAAATTTTTTTTACATTTTTTTTTTTGATTTTGCTTGTGATTTGTGAAACATGGAGCGAAATTATTTTCTATAATAAATAGAATGACCTTATTCTTGACTACAAAATGGTATGTGTTTTAATCCTGTAGAATCAATATTCGTGAAGTTATTACAGTTTAAAGAAAAATGTCATGTCAATGAAAATATGAAAATTTACACAAATTTCTAAAGATTTTCATATGAAATTTTCACAGACGTTTTTCTTTAAACTATGATAACTCTGTGAATAAGTTTGAAATCTTAATCCATAATAGAATGATATACAATCTGAAGTACAGATGGGAACTTAATTATAGTAAAAATTTTTCAACTTTTTTACATTAAAACTTTATTTTCTAAATATAGAAATAAAATTCTAACCATAAACACAAAAGAACAAATAGGAAGGCTAATTTATAATATAGGATAAAATAGGACGGTTGTAGGAATTAATAGCTAATCTTCAATATAGAAATTACCATTCGGTATAGCGATTTTTTTGTATTTGACCAGTGATAGTAACCCGGAATCTACACTTTCAAAATAATTGGTTAAAATTTAAGAATATATTAAAAATAGCAAACCATTATAATTTCACTTAAAAAAATATGAACAAAAATCCTGGAGGTATGGATATATATAGAAAAGGTATTACTGAAAAATGACAGAATATACAGTTAAAAATATAAATTCATTGATGTAATTTGTAATAAATTAAATAATTAAAATAAAATTATCGATTTGGGCGCAGTGATGTGGCACAACTCTTTAAATATTTTATTATTAATTGTAATCTTTTTATTTTGAAGGTATTTGAGAATGTTTCTCAAGTTTCCAAATATATTCTATTGATAATATTACATTGTTTTATTCTAATACAATAGCGAAAGTATTCCATCGTCCACAATAACAATCTATAACCTTTTTCCCTTCAATTACAGAAGTAAAAGAATAATTTTCCGATAAATTTTCAGGTCCTTGACCTTGTTGTCCATATTTACCTATGTATAAATAAATCAAAGGTTAGATTTGGATATAATAAAGGTTTCAAAAAGAAATTGAATATTATAAAAAAGACAAAAAGAATATTTAATATTAATAATATTAATAATATTTCAAGATAGTAAAACATACCCCATCCACAAGTCAAAAGATTGTTGTCATCTTTTTGTATGTAAAAAAAGAAATAAAAATACTTTATTTACTGATATAAAAATATAAATTTGGTACATTTAAATCTATTTGAACATGTCACATTTTATTCATTTTACCTGTAAGAACAACGGTATGTGCACTCCCACATGCAACTTTGACCACATTTATAAAATCGTCATCGCAATCTCCTTGAAATTCTACTAATGAAGGTTCAGCAGAATTTAAGGTGTTCTCGTTATTTCCGTTATTATTTCCTGGTGGTGAAATTCCTAATCTTCCTAGATTATTCCAACCGAATGTATATAAATCTCCCGAATCTAAGTTTTAGCAAAAAAAAAAAAAATGAGATTACAAATAATTCTCAATTGATCAATTAGATGAATTTTTTTTTTCATATATCGGATATATTTACCCGATATTACAGCAGAATGCCATGCTCCACATGCAATAGAAGTAATTTTTAATCCTTGTAAAAATTCTATGACCTTTGGTTTATCTGATTTATCTAAGGAATTTAAGTTTCCGTGACCTAATTGTCCATATCTGTACCATCATCACCATTCATCATCATCATGAATAATAAAGCGAATATTTATAACAACTACTACAACAACACATTTTTGATATCGTCAACAATAAAAAAAATAAAATAAATAAATAAATTATTCACAATAAAATTTAAATGTATAAAATTACCTTCCGGATCCCCAACTAAATACTTCGCCATCTCTAGTCAATGCTAAACAATGATTTTCTCCACATGCAACATTAATAAAAAATTTCTCTATAACTTCATCTCCTTCTTCATCCGATTGTATTATTATCTCTTCAGGAGTAGAATTATTTCTTAAATTCCATTTCATCAATTTTCCGTCCTCTTCAATATACCCAAATATAATCACGAAATCAAAATTTCGTTGATCACACATTCATTAAATAAAATTCTTTTCAAGAAATGTAGATTGAAGGGGAGAGTGTACGTGTGTGTGTTTTTTTCTATTCTATTATAATTATTACCTACCTGTGATTCCTATTACATCTTTACCTGTCCAAAATTGGGCAATGTCAATAAATTTTGTGGTTAAATTACTGTCAATAATTTCTTCTTGATTTGAATTCAAATTTAAATAATAAAGATTTCCATCAAAATCAAGAAATCCTTGAATCCCATCATCATCACCAAAACATTTTTTAAGGTTTTTGAAAGGTTTGAAAATGGGAGATGTTGTTACTTCGTTAAGTATTTGGCAAAAACCCCATAAAATTGATGATTTTCCATCATCTCCTTGAACATCCCTCTTACATAATCAAATATATAAAATAAATATAAAATAAATATAAAATAATAATATTAATTAGTAATGATTAATAAGGATTAATAATAATATTTTAATAAAAATATGGATTTACAAAGAAATCAATTTTACCATTTCCCCTAAAGTAGAACTAAAATTAGCCCAAATAATCTTATTACAATTTGTAATTTCAGTAATATCAATTGCTTTGCTAATAATAGCATCTTGACTTTCAGGATTGGTCTGTCCAAAACCATTATATCCAAAAGCATAAATTCTTTTATTATTATTATTATTATCTGACATTTTTTTTTACGGTTAATAATCTAATATCTAATATAATCTAATACACATAATCTAAGTATAAGTATAATATACAGAATAATGAATGATTATTTATAAAATGTATTGCCTCAGAAAAATAATTTTTTATCGTCAAATTTATTTTACTTTTTTTTTTTTAAAAAAAAAAATAAATAAAATTTCAGATAATACATGCATTTTATTGAAGTAACATCATTGGCAATAAAATAAGTTTTTGATATTAATAAAATAATAAATAATAATAAATAATAATAACTTACTAATTTTGATCTCGAATTCTTATGAATTATTTTTTTTATCTATTGGATAAATAAAAAATTAATATTATTAATTAATTTTAGAAAACTTGATGGAATTTTACTCTTTTTTTTTTTATTATTTTGCTTCAGAAAGAATAAACAATTGATATCATTATTTAAATCATAAGATAATACATGCATAATTTTTTTTAAACATCATCAGGAGAGTATTTTTTTAGATGAATTAATGGAAAATAGATAAATTACCTTTAATTAACATTCTGGCAATTATTACAATTATTACAAATGAAATGATTGTTACATAATCCACCGATTTATGTAGATCACATTATTTTCCACGTTCCACGTTACATTACGTTACATTGAAATTTTGATTCTAAAAGTTGATCGTATTCACATTTGAATGGGAATACTTGATTAGTAATTATGAATAAGATAATCTAAGAAAAATCTGACAAATCAGATCAAAAAAAAAAAAATTGGAAAAACTATAAATCCTTTAATCACATGCTTTAGTTCGAGAAAACTTTATAAGGCTGAACTTTTAACATCTTCGGGGTTAATTCCCAATGGGTCATCAAAAAACAATATTTGTTCAACCTGCGGAAGTAACAACCACTATACCTTTAACTTCAAATGTACAATCAACTACCAAAGTTATATCCAAACAACTTTCACTATCTAAAACCAACCATACAACAAAACGTTCTGTTACAAATGGTTCGATAAAAAAAACTTTTACAAATGGGTTAACCACCAATCACCTCATCCGATTATCACATCGAACTTCAGAAGTTCACATAACACCACCTACCACACCACCAACTACACGTTACTCGGATACCAAAATACCACTCGTTGTTGAATGTCAAGTACGTGCACGTATTCCAACTGCTACGGGGGATATGTTCCTACACCTTTATAAAAATAATAGAGATAATAAAGAACATTTGGCTGTCGTTTTTGGTGACGATATTCGAAGTACAAGTTTAGATATATCTCGACCTGGGGAAATAGAAATGGATAGAATTTTAAGAGGCGCATATACGGGAAAACTAAAACCTGGACAAACAAGTTCATCGGATGGATTTAAAGGCAATACAACCATGATATCTTCAGATAAATTACCACCACCATTAGTTAGAATTCATTCGGAATGTTTTACCGGTGAAATTGTTCAAAGTGTACGATGTGATTGTGGTGAACAATTAAAAGAAGCTATGGAATTAATTCGATCGGAAGGACGAGGAGTTGTAATATATTTGAGGCAAGAAGGTAGAGGAATTGGTTTAGCAGATAAGTTAAGGTGAATATTAATTATTTTAATTATTAAACATTATATAAATTTTATTCATTATATTCAATGATATTTAATAATACTTTAATAATATTTGATAATAATCAATAATATATTTTTTTTTCTTTAGAGCATATAATCTTCAGGATTTAGGATATGATACAGTTTCAGCAAATGTTTTTTTACATCACCCACCTGACCTTCGTACTTATGACATTGCAAATCAAATTCTAGCCGATCTTAGGTTAAGTAATATTCGATTACTTACAAATAATCCTGATAAGATTGAGCAAGTCGAAAATGGTGGGATAAAAGTAGTCGAGCGGGTACCAATGGTTCCTTTAGCATGGAAAGTTAACCATGACTCCAATCATATTATTAATGAATTAGATCAATATCTTAAAGTAAAGGTTGAAAGAATGAGACATTTATTAAATGTTCCAGAAACTTTATTAAATTGACATTTTCATTTCCCTTATTTTTTTTACTTTTCATTTTTTTCACTGAAATATTATTATTCAATAATTTAAGAAATTTATTTTTAATTAATTATTATTATATTGTTATTATTATTATTATTATTATTTATATAGTTGTCTAGATTGTCTAGATTGGGATTCTAGAACAATTAATAATTAGAAATAGAATAATAATTATTTTAGATTATTTATTTTATTATTTATCTAAAAAAAATTTTTTTTTTTGGTATATTCGGATTTTATAACAGTAATATATGTATATGTAATGCATATCTTTAACTTTATTTTTGCACATCCAATAATTTCAATTAAATCTTTGAAGACTTCAGAGAAATTTATTTATAAGTTTACAAATCACATGATCATAGATCATAAATAAAGTGCATTTAATAGCTAGCTTTTTATGGCTAGTTTTTTAACCATCTTTAAATTTTTCTTGAAATAATTTCTACAAAATTTTATTTGAATATAAATTTGATTCAATTTATACTTCAATTTATAACAGAATAGGATTTTCCAATTGAATCCCAAATAGAATTATTTCAAAAGAATTTAAAAGAATTATATTTTTATTATGTATTAAAATTATCCAAGAATTCAAATTCTTACAGATATAAAGTAAATCTTTGTGTAATGTAACTTACACGTGGTTTCCGGAAATTTATAATAATTGGCGGAAATTTTTTAGAGAAAGATTTTTTTTTCCGATTAAAACGCGTTAACAGAAAATAGCAATGCCTTTTTATTACATGACTTATTTAATCAGGTTGAAACCAACTCGGTCTGATTGGTCAAAAATCAAACTTTTCTAAACGCGATTTTATAACTTTCAAGAAAATTTTTAAATCATTTTAAAACCTAAAAATTCGTGTCATTTTAGATTCTATATCTTATTTTTATTTTTTTTTTTGTTCATTCCTCACTCTTCATTTCTACTTCCCCGAAAGTTTTCTTGCTTTTTTCTTTGTTATATTTCATTTGCTAGACCCATAAATTATATTATAAATTATATTATAAATTATACTATAAATAAATTATACACATTATGGTTGTTCAACAGAGTCAACAGAGTGTAAGTGGTCTTACTTAAAAAACCACGAAAAACCAATTACATCTAATAAAGACAATATGGTTTATTCCTTTGAAGAGTCTCATTTTGTTTTTTGAATATATGATTTATTTATTTAATAGATGCATTAGTTGTTAATGCTTCATTTCTTTATATTTGCATTAATGGAATTTTCTTGTTTAAAAACACGTGAATGTAGGGATTACGGAGAAGTCCTCGAACCGCAACCGTGTCAAGGAAAAAGAAAGAACAAACCTTACTTAACATAACCACCACCAACACGAAGAGAAAGCAAGAAAGGTCCGGGATTACGACTAGGTCAAGAAAGCAAGACAATTCTTCTTCAATAACCAATGACGACGATAATAATAATGACGATAATAATAATGACGTTAATAATAATAAAGAATCAGATTTTTTTTCTGATGACAATGATAACGGGGGAGGAGGAGGAGCTAATAATAATGTCGAGTTATCATTTTCAAACTCTGGAAATAAGAAAGATACCAAGAAAAAAGGGAAAACGACGACTTCAACAAAAAAGAAATCATCATCATCGACAACTAATAATGCGTCATCAAAAGGAAAATCGAAAACGAATCAAGTAAATTCTAAAAAAAATAGTAGCAATAAAGTTGAGGTAATTTTGATTGACATTTTTTATGTCTCCTTTATCACCTTCTTTATCATAATCACGTTTTCTATACATTACCTCATTATCATCTCTTTTATCACGTCACTTTATCACGCTCTTTATCCCTCATCTTTATTATCATCACGTCCCTTTATCACGTTCATCACGTCACGTCTCTACATTATTTCTTTATCATGTATCTACATTATTTCTTTATCATGCCTCTTCTATAGGAAAAAAAGATGCCACAATTTATTCCAACCACTGTTAAAAAACTCGCAAACGCATACCCTGATCAATATTGGCGTTTTCACGCTGAAAGTGGAGATGGAATGATAAATTACCTTAACGATCAACATCAACTCGAATTGGTAAATGTGGATGTACGCGACCAAGGTATATAAAATATATATATACACATAATGTCATGCGATGAAATAACTAAAAATCATTGTTAATTTAAATTACCGCTAACAAATCACGTTAACTAAAATCATATGGATAAAATTGTAAAAAAGTTAAAATTGTATAGATAAAATTGTACAGATAGTTAAAAGTGTATAGTTAAAATTTTATAGTTAAAATCATTGATCACTGAAATATTTAATTTAATTTAGGACCAATTACGGGAATGACACTTTCTCAAGATGGTACGATGTTAGTGACATTTTCTAATGTAGGATCTGCTAGAATATGGGATACAAGTGATTTTAGATTGATTCAAAAATTAAGAGATACTGAGGTAAATAAATAAGAATTGTTTCATTATTTCATTTCACATGATCAAAAAAAGGTTAATGTGACACGTCACATTTATTTCTTTTATTCCTTTTTTTTTTTTTTTTTTTTTATATATATATTTGACAAAAAAAAAGGAAGAAAATATAGATGAATTTTTTGTTGGAAAATTTATTCCTGAACAAAATCGTATTGCTATTGGTGGAAAATTAAAAAATCGAAGTCTTTGGTCAAAAGATGATGAAGATAACCATATTTTACCGTGTCCTCTCAAGGTGATTATATTAGAATTTTTTTTTGTGCATATGTAATATATACGTTGTGTATATTCTGTTGTATATTTACCTTTTCTCTTCTACCTTTCCCTTCTCTTCTCTTCTCAACTCTACTTTTCTCTTCTCTACTCTACCCTTTTCTTCTTTATTTCAGATCTTTGATGTGTTGACCGGAAAAGTTATTACAAAACTAGAAGGTCATTGTGAAGAAATTTTATGCGTTAAAGATGTCATGTACAAAGGATTGCCATATTTTATAACTACTAGTCAAGATGGATATATTATTAAATGGAAAATGCAAGATGATTGGACGTAAGTAATTTATATATGCATATAATAAATATAATATAAAAAATAAGAAAATATATTATATTAAATAATAAACATAATAAACATAATAAATATAATTATTAAAATAATAATTATATTTAAATTGTTATTCTTCTAGTACACTCATTAGTAAACATCGAATGATTGATGGAGTCACATGTATGGCTTTTACGGTATCATTTGTACCAAATACTGGAAATAAATATTTTATGGCAGCCACGGATGAACACGTAAAATTATATGATTTTGAAGCAGCACAGGTAAAAGATATTAAATTTTATTTATTTATTATTATTTATTTATTTATTTATTTATTTTATTTTATTTTTGGTTAAAAACAATTTTTTAACAAGTTTTCATTCATCCTTCTCATTCTTTTTTCATCATCTTTTATTTTACTACGTACAACATGTACGATATGTGTATTAAAAAAAAAAAAGCTTATACAAACATTTTCAGGAAATATGTATTCACAATATTGTGATTGTGGAAAATTTATTCATCCCGTGGAACCATTAGAAGACGAAGGTCTTACTTGTGGTAATGCAGAGGAAGGATCTAATAGTAACATTAATAATAATAATAACAATAATAATAATAATAATAATAATGGTAATAATAACAATAATAATAATAATAATAATAATAACAACAAATCAAGGAAGAGATCACAAGAACCAAGATTTGCCTATTTTGTTACTCGTGGTGTTGAAATTTTAGATGCTGAAGGCGGAAAGATTGGTAAGACAAACAAACTAAATAACTAACTAATTAATTAATTAATTAATTAATTATTTATTTATTTAATTATTTAATTATTATTTTCGTTCGTTTATTTCATAATATATTTTTAATAAATCCAATAAATTAAGCATCACGTGGCAACGTATGTATATTACATAAATTAATATACCCTATACGAGCGGGTCAACCATTTGAACTTAAAGAAATACGAAGGTTTGGGCATAAAGAGTAAGTCACTTTATTTATTATTTTCATTAGTTTCATATTATTTCATTATCATATTCATTTTTAATTAATTAATAATATCATTAAATATTGTTTTAAATATAATTTTCTAGTTATCATTCAAATTCATGGCTTATAAAGATTTCATCAAATGGACGTTATCTCGCAGCTCCAACAATGACTGGACAAGTTTTCATATTTAGATTGAGAACAGGAGAAGTTACTTCTATATTAAGAGATCATGAAGGTAATATTAATTTGTAAATTTGTTAATTTGTATTTTTGAATATTTACTTTTTACGTATTGTTTTTTTTTTTATTTTAAAATTAATTAATAATCAATTTTTTTTTTATAATTATAAAATTAAAGATTTAGAAGTCAGAGATGTTATATTTCATCCTTGGAAACCTTTGTTATTTACTAGTGCTGATGGTAAATGTTTACCATATTCTCATTTATTTGCTGCATCTCATTTTCATTTTATCTTATTAATCTTTTACTTTTTATACTTTTTATACTTTTTTTTTTTTTTTTATTTCATTATTTCATTATTTCTCATATTTCTCTTGTTTTTGTTAAAAAAAAGATGGTTGCATTAAGATATATACTTATAAAGATACACCTGATCAACAACAAAATTCCATGCAAATTGATCAACCTCTCGACCTTGATCAACCGCTCGAACTTGATCAACCACTCGACCTTGATCAACCTCTCGATCTTGATCAACAACAAAATTCCATGCAAATTGATCAACCACTCGATCTTGATCAACCATTCGATGTTGATCAACAATTTGATCAACAATCCGATCGACAACTCGATCAACAACTCGATCGACAACTCGATCGACAGCAACTTGATCAACAACTTGATCATAAAGAGTAATTTGAATTTGAATTTAAATTAGTTTTAAAATTTGCTTCTTCAATTCTTAATTATAAAATATATTAAAAATTTCTTTACTTTCTGAATGTTTAAAAATAAAGTTATAATAAATGTCAAAATTGTCAAAATGTAAATATAATAAATATGTACGTCATGTAATACAAATGATTGTCCATCTAATGACTACCAATCGTTGAAAATCATTTAAATCATTGAAAATCATTGTTGATTGTCCATCACTTGGATTCGTTTTCGATACAATATTATTTAATATGACTAAACGCAACTTTAAGCCTTTAACAGTATTAAAAGACGAGGTTCAACAGGAATATGGTAAAACCCGGGAAGAATTTTATAATGAAAAGCGAACTGAAAGCCAGGTACATTATTTCAATTGTCATTTTTTCCTTTCGATAGAAATTGTAATTTTCAATAAACCGTTGCGTTGTCAATTGTAAATAAATAAATTATAACACTAATAAATTAAATGATATCAAATATATAATCTCTTTTATTAGATATTAGTACGTGAAAGTATTAAAAAAATAGAAACGTTACTTAATCAATGCGATAAACATACAAGAGAAAACAAAGTTCAATTTAATGCGGATCCTTATCCTCAAATTATACAAGAAGAAGAAACTTTCCATAATAATAATAATAATAATAATAATAATAAGAGGAATAATAATAATAATAAGAATAATATCAATATTATTAACAATTATAATAATAATAGTAATTACAACAGCAATATTAACAACTATAATATCAACAGTTATAACAACAATAATAATATCAGTGACAATAATAACATTAATATTAATAATAATATTGTTATTAATAATAATAATAATAACATTAATAATAATAATAACATTTCGAATGTATTATCCTCTAAAACTTCAACTAAAGCTAATAATAAATCATCATCATCATCATCGACCTTAAAGATAGATATTAATATCCAAGTAATATTTGATAATTATGATTTAATAATTATGAAAATAATTATTTCTATTTCATTATTTATATCCAATTGTTTATTTATTAGCATTTATTCACTTTCATTTATTCTATTCTATTCATTCATTCATTTATTCTATTCATTTATTCATTCCATTTCATCTTTCAACCCAATCAATTAATCAACCAACCAATCAATTAATCACTCAAAAAATCAAAAAATCATATAAATAATAATAATAATAATCATCATCATTATTATTATTTTAGGATTATTTGTCAGCTTCTCATCGTAAAAAACGAATTGATAAACGTCCGGCTATGATTATTCCAATTCAAAATGAAGTTCCTAAATATGCTTTATGGACTCCTATTGCGAGAAGTTCTAAGGTATTTATTATAATAATATTATAATTATTAATAATATGATATTATGTTGAATATTATATTATTTATATATTAATTTTATAACTATTATATAGATCAATTTTTATTATATATCAATAATAATTATTATATCATTATTATATCATTAGACAGAAGATGATCCAGTGTTAAGGCATCTTTATTATTTTGGAGAAGATAGCGAAGATGATGATGATGTGGATTATTTTGATGTTTATGAAGAAAGTATTGTTGGAAAGAATATTCAAGATCCTGAAGGTAATAATAATAATAACAATAAATATATGAGTTAATTATTATTATTATTATATTATTAATATTTGCTAACAATATAATTAATAATATAATATATATATATTGATAATATGATATGATAATTATAAAATCATAATATAATAATAATAAATCAATAATAAATAAAATATAATCTAAAATATAATAATAAACATTATTACAACAATAATAAATCAATAATAAATCAAATAATATAAATATATATATAAATATATATATAAATATAGAAGAAAGAATAACAATTAAAACAATGCAACGTGTCTTTGAACAAAACAATATATCGTTAGCACTTTTAGAGAAGAGTGCATTTAACATAAATTCGGAACCTAGTAAAACTTCTTCAACCCCATCAACCACTTCAAGACTTACTCGTTCACCTGTAACGGCCAATCGTTCTATTCATGTTGAAGATGAAAATGAGGAAGATTCAGATTTACCATTTGTTGAATTAATTATTAATGCTCTTTCTAAAGTTTTAAAAGGAAAAGATATGAAGGTGATGGTGAGTAGGTAAGAAGATTTTATTTGATTTATTATTATTCTTTCTTTCTTTAATTTATATATACTTTAATGATATTATTATTTATACTTTATAATATTGTTATTTATACTTTATACTTTATACTTTATGCTATTATCTAGATATATAGAATATACACGTAAATTAGAGTCAAAAGCAAATATAGCTTCAGAATTAGAAAGGTATGAAAATATTTTTTTTTATATTTTAAAATTATTTCTGATATATATTATATACTTAACAATAATAATAATAATAATAATAATAATAATAATAATAATAATAATAATAAATAATAATAATAATAATAATAATAATAATAAATAATAAATAATATATTCAAGAAATCAACATCAACATCATCATCACCATCAATCATCGTCATCATCATTATCACCATTAAAGATTAGTGGTAATAATACATCAGATACTATTTTACATTCATATTCAAGTCTCTGGTGTCGTCGGTGTTATGTATATGATTGTAAATTACATGGTAAATTTAAATATTAATTTTAATCATTATTATTGTTATTTAATTATAATAATCATAATAATAATAATAAATCATAATAAATCATAATGATAATAATATTTTACGTAGGAACTGATTTTAGACCATCAAATAATAAAAAACGACCACGTCCAACCTCCGGAAAAACTAAACCATGTGGAACTTTATGTTATTTAAATTTGAAGAATGATCATCCTCATGATTTATTATCATCACAAATTCCTATTCATGATGATTATTGGGATGATACGGAAATTGCTTTATTTCGAAAATCTACTGATTTAATTGGTACCAAGAATTATTGTAATATTGCTTCTATTATTATGACTAAATCTTGTAAACAGGTTAGTAATTAATAATTGATTATTATTGATTATTATGGATTATTATCGTGATTGTTATTGATTATTATTGATTATGATAACATATTTATAAATTTTAATTATTTTATAGGTTTATTGGAAATTTAAATCATTGGGAGATACAATTAAAGATGATGATGTGGAAATTAATTCATCTTCAGATGAATCAAGAAAGAAAAGTAAAAGGATGGCAAAAATTGAAATTGATGCGGAAAATCATTCCGAATATCATCCTTGTGATCACCCCGGAAAACCTTGTGACATGAATTGTCCTTGCAAGAAAGGAAATGTACCTTGTGAAAAATATTGTCATTGTGATTTGGATTGTAATTATTTTTATTTATTTATTATTTATTTTATTATTTATTTTATTATTTATTTTATTATTATTTATTTGTTATTATATTTTATTGATTATTAATTATATTTTTAAAGGTCCAAGAAGGTTTCCAGGTTGTAATTGTTCGGGATCAGGAAAGACATGTAGTAATAGAAGTTGTTTATGTTTTTCGAATTATCGTGAATGTGATCCTGATTTATGTAAATGTGCTGCTTCAGGTAAAAAATATTTATTTATTAATTATTATTATAATTATTATTATCGTTATTTAATTGATTAATTATTATTAGTATTATTTGTTATTTTGATTAATTAATTAATTAATTAATTATTTGATTAATCATTACTTTTCAAAATTAGAACCATTGAATACTCAATTTATTGCAAGACATGGATGTAAAAATGTCTCTATTCAAAGGCAACAAACCAAGGTTTATTTAAAATTCATACACGTGAACAATGATTTATAAAAAATCACAAATAGTAACAAAGAATTTTTAAAATTTAGCGTACCATTGTAGGAATTTCATCTGTAGCGGGTTGGGGATTATTTGTTAGAGAACATGTAAAGAAAAATGAATTTTTGGGCGAATATATTGGAGAAGTAAATATTTATACTATTCTTTTGATATTTTATATTACATAATACTATGTATTTACTTTGATATTACACAATTTTAGGTTATATCACAAGCGGAGGCTGATAGACGCGGTAAAATCTATGACAAACGAGGCATTAGCTTTTTATTCAATTTGAATAAAGGTAATTTTTTTTTTTATTGAATAATTTATTATTATTTATTTTTATTTATTATTATTGATTATTTATTATTTATTATTATTATTATCATTATTATTATTTATTCATTTTATTTATTTTTATTTATTTTTATTTACAGATTTTGTAGTTGATGCTACTCGAAAAGGAAATAAATTTAGATTTATAAATCATTCAAATGATCCAAATACTTATTGTCGTGGTAATTATTATTATTATTAATTAATTTTTATCGTTTAATTAATTAATTACTTATTATTTCGTTATTAATTATTGAATTAATTAATTAATTAATTAATTAAATATGTAGTTACCTTGGTCAATGGAGAACATCGTATTGGAATTTATGCTTTGGGAGATCTTGATCCTGGACAAGAATTATTTTTTGATTATAGGTATTCATTTTCCCTCTCTTATAATTTTTATTATGTATGAACATATCATATACTTATATTTGAATTATATATATATATAATTTATAGATACGATGGTGAAGCTTTGAAGTTTGTTCCCTTGGAAAGAGAACGTGCTCCAAGTCCCGTTAAATCTAGTTTATCAAATGGAAAATTTGCAATGAAAAATGATTACTGAATATTTTTTATTATTGAATTTTATTATTATTATTATTATTATTATTTGTTCAATTTCAAGTTATTGTGATTGATGAAAAATGAATTATATATATATAATTTTATATAGATTTTTGTTTGTGGGAAAATAAAAAAGGGATAGATATAATATATATGCAGTATTTATGTAACATTATTGAATTTTTGTTTTAAAAAAGCAACAAATGTAAATCTATTAATTATTGGCAAAATTTCCTGAGTGCCCTACTTCACTCAAACTCCTTTCTCCCACTCAGGTTGTATTGCAAGCTTATACTTTTACTTCAAACCAATTTGATGCAACAAAGAAATATTTTTTACTAAATATGTTTCTAAGATAATTTGAAAGCTCTTCCCTCTTAAGCATTGATATTTGTCAAGTTATTGCCATTTGAGATGATTTATTAAAATACTAAGGGTACAAGTTTAAAAGTTCATTGAGTCTATACCATACATTTACTTCAGATCAATTAAAAAATCGTAATACAAACAATACATTTTTTTATATATACTATAAGGCAACATGCCTCATATTAACCAATTTCTATATATTTTATATAACTTTTATTTTAATAAATAAATATAAGAATAAATTTATTGATCATCATCTAAATTGACCATACTTTCATATTTATCTAAATTGACCATACCTTCATATTTATCTAAATTAAATTTTGAAATCGATTCATGAATTGCAAAACTATGTTGCATTAAAGGTTGACTCATAGAATGTGTATCAGAATAAGTAGTTTCATTATATAATGATTCAGAATCAATATTTTGCATTTCTTGATCTGCCTTTAAAAACATAAGTGTATTTTCTGTTGTTTCATTATAAGTTAAATCTACAACCCATCCCTCTGATGTAATAAAAATAGTTTCAGCACTTGGACGTTCAGATGGATTATTGTGCCAACATTTTTCCATCAATTCAACATAACATTGAGGTGTTCCTTTCTGAATTTTTGGACGATATCCATTGAAAATAGATATTGCCAGTTCTGGATCACATAATTCTTTTTCATAAGGTACTTTTCCTGTTGATATTACCCACATAACAATTCCAACACTATAAATATCTGAAGCTTGTGTATATTGATTTTTATCCATGACCTCTGGTGCAATATATGGTAATACACCATATGTTCCAGATGATAAAATTTCATTTACTGGTCTACATAAACCTAAATCTCCCAGTCTAATAAATTTTAAATTATCATGTGCTTCGGTAATCATAAGATTTCCTGGATGAAGATCACGATGAATAAATCCTTTACTGTGAATTGTTTCTAATCCTTTAAGAAAAGAATTTAATAACCATAACCGTTCTTTCCAAGACAATGTCTTATTTTGTTCAAGAAAGGATTTCAAATTTCCATCTTTCATATATCGTAAAACTAATGCATACTCATTTGACTTTTGATCTTGTGTTATACCCAAAATTGGTAAAACATACCTATTTCGACAATGAAAATTTACTAATAACTATATATTATAAAGTTAAATTACGTTAAATTAAGTTAAATTACATATTTTACACATTTAAAAATTGATGCATTTTAATATATTTACCTCTTTTAAAAATTCAGAACTAATTTGTTGTGAATTCTTAAGTTTCTTTAAAGCAACTTGATTTGAATTATAAAATCCAAATAATTCTTCAGGCATATCTTTCCATTCTGCTTTCCAAACACTACCAAAACCTCCTTCAGCTAAGTATTTTATATTTTCGAATTTACTATAATCTATCCATCTCCAAATTTCCCATTCCTTTGCATTTTCATTTAATTGAGACATGTAAATAATCTTGTCAACTTCATAATTACCACTGGTCCATTTTGATAAATAACCTAATTCAATAAGTTTACAATTTGGACATACATTTTTTTGAATATTTAAATTTCCACAATTATGACATCTACTAAAATTTTGATAATACTTAATACAGATTTCATTGCAATCATTTTCTTTCCAACAGATACAGCAAATATTATCATTTTCTTTAATGTCTTCTATAGGATTATTTTCATTTTTCTTAATTTTTGAGAATCCAATTTCATTTCGATAATAATATTCAACTGCAGCCTGATTATGTTCATCACCCCCTTCAGCTGATTTCAAAATCCACTGTAATGATTTCTCTTCATTCTCAGTGGTTCCAATCTCATCTTTATAACACAGTCCAAGATTATTCTGTCCATAAATATTTCCACTTTCAGCTGATTTCGCGTACCACTGGAATGCTTTCTCGTCATCTTTTTTTGTTCCAATCCCATTTTCATAACAATATGCGAGATTATTCTGTCCATTACTGTCTTCACCCTCAGCTGATTTCAAGTACCACTGAAATGCTTTCTCTCCATCTTTTGTTGTTCCAATTCCATTTCTATAACAATCTCCAAGATTATTTTGTCCACCACTATTTCCACTTTCAGCTGATTTCAAATACCACTGAAATGCTTTCTCTTCATCTTTTGTTGTTCCAATTTCATATTCATAACAATATCCAAGATTATTTTGTCCATCACTGTCCCCACCCTCAGCTGATTTCAAGTACCACTGAAATGCTTTCTTTTCATCTTTTTTTGTTCCAATTCCATTTTGATAACAATCTCCAAGATTATATTGTCCACTATTATTTCCACTTTCAGCTGATTTTAAGTACCACTGAAATGCTTTCTCTTCATCTTTTGTTATTCCAATTTCATTTTCATAACAATATCCAAGATTACTCTGTCCATCACTGTCTCCACTTTCTGCTGATTTCATGTACCACTGAAATGCTTTCTCTTCATCTTCCTTTGTTCCAATTCCATTTCTATAACAATCTCCAAGATTATTTTGTCCATTGCTATTTCCCCCTTCCGCTGATTTCATGTACCACTGAAATGCCTTCACTTCATCTTCCTTTGTTCCAATTCCATTTCTATAACAATTTCCAAGATTATTTTGTCCATTACTATTTCCCCCTTCAGCTGATTTCAAGTACCATTGGAATGCTTTCTCTTCATCTTTTGCTGTTCCAATCCCATGTTGATAACAATGACCTAGGTTATATTGTCCATTACTATCTCCTCCTTCAGCTGATTTCAAGTACCACTGGAATTCTTTCTTTTCATCTTTTGTTGTTCCAATCTCGGATTCAAAACGGTCTCCAGGATTATTCTGTCCCGTGATGTTTCCTCCTTCATCTGATTTTATGATCCATTGGAATACTTTTTCTTCATCTTTTGTGGTTCCAATCCCATGTTGATAACAGTATCCAAGATTATATTGCCCATTAATATTTCCTCCTTCAGCTGATTTCAAATACCACTGAAATGCTTTCTCTTCATCTTTTATTGTTCCAATTCCATGTTGATAACAATGACCTAGGTTATATTGTCCATTACTGTCTCCCCCTTCAGCTGATTTCAAGTACCATTCGAATGCTTTTTCTTCATTTTTTGTTGTTCCAATTCCATTCATATAACAATCACCAAGATATTTCTGTGCACCACTATTTCCCTCTTCAGCTAATTTCAAATAAAACTGAAATAATTGTTCTTGTTCCGTATCTTTAGAGGATTTGTTATTAAATTCTATTCCGCAAAACATAATCTCATCATAAATGGAAAAATAAACACAACGTTGAAAATTCAATATATTATTAAGATATGGTATAAAATTCAAATAGGATTTATAATTTATAAACTTATACGATAAATAGATAAATATGATAAATAGCAGATTAAATATTTGATTTAATTAAATTTCCGTTGATTTTTTTTTTTTCACATTAGTCATTTAAATAAAATAGAGTTTGTTGAAGAAGTGCTTGTCTCTAATAAATATTAATTTTTCATTGTACATTCTTCTATTTATTTGTCACTGTCAAACATTAAGAAATTCATAATATCTTTTATGCGATGTAACATTTAATTATTAATATTTACATTTTGCGTAAAAATAATTTTTTGTTTTCATTTTTTTTTTTGTTAAGAAAATTTTATATGATTGAAATTTTTGATATATTTCATTAAGCGGAATGGACTAAACATAATGGAATAATTCGAATAAGTATCACATTTGCTTTCGTTTTCGTTATAATTTATCAAATTACAAAAATTTAAATAAAGTGTTCTAAAATATTAACGTTCCCATAAAATAATTATTTATTCACGTTAGAAATCTTTTACTGTCAGTTTCTTTTTGACGAGGTTAATGGTTAACTATTATCGAATGAAAAACGAAAACTTCATGATTAATCTTTTATAGATAAAAGTATTCTTTTTTGATAAATATTCGTTTTATATTTTATTATTGTGATTATTCAAATGAAAATTAATAAATATGATAAACACTTTAGATTGGCTATGATAATAATTTAAAAACAAAACTTTAACAATTCCCTATAAGAAATACGCATATTTGAAAAATACTTAAGTATATTTATTATTTTATAATTAAAATATATTTAAAATATACTTAAAAAAATACTTAATTTAGGTAAAGAGTAAGTATGTTTTAAGTATATATTTAAAACATACTTAAAATATTATTAAAATTAATTATATTTTAAGTATATACCTAAAACATATTTACTCATACCTAAATTAAGTATTTTTTAAGTATATTTTAAATATATTTTAATTATAAAATAATAATATTTCAAATAGTTTTTTATATACTTAAAATATATTAAAAATATATTTTATTAAATATTTTTTAAGTATATTATCGTAGTATATATTTTACCCTAATGTTATTCCTTTTTCGGTGAAGTCACGGCACAAAATACCTTCACCCAGTTGGTGAGTATTGGTAAGTTCTTAAGTTCAATCACTTGCCAACAATACTCTTTTTTGGGAAGATTTTCGTGACCCGAAATGGAAAAAAAAGGTCAAGAATTTATATACATGGTACATGGTACATGATCATGACCATTTAGAAGAATAACCTCCACCCACCCACCCAAAGAATAGCGGGTGTTTATATAATTTC